AATGTATGCTATACGAAGTTATTACGTATCTACTTCTATTCCCCTTATTTGACTGTCCTCACAGCAGCCAGAATGGTTAAAACCACAACAAACTCACACCTGATCACCTTTTGATTTTGTTCCTCCTCATCTTTGATCTTGCACCACCTCATCACTTCAGTGACACAGACAGCCTTTGGGCTTTTTAGTCAGTGCCACCAGCTCACCTGCTCCTACCTGGCACAGGCACTGACACAGGGTGTCCTCCCTGCTTGTGACCTCATTCACCACCCTTCTCTTTACCTCTCTAATGGCTAATCATCCTTCAGTCACATGGGAAACTGTTTGACCCCAGAGAGCCTTTCCTACCACTCTGATTGGTTCAGGTCCCTGTTAGATGTTCTCCTGGAACTCATACTTCCCCCAAATCAATAATTTGCATAATTTTGTTTAATGTCTCTCTTCTTCATTAGACTGTATGCTCCATCACATCAAGGGCTATGTTTTATTCTCTGCTAGTACCTAGGACCTTGCCATATTCATAGCATCAGTCGTTAAATACATACCAAATAAATGAATGTATAAAAAATGAAAGAAAATGAAATTCCAGATGATAAAAATTATTTCTGCTTATTAGTAGTCAAAAATTAGGTAAAATGAAATAACATACAATTTTACCTTTCAGATTAGTGAAATTGTATCTTTTTGATCAGTAAGAACTTTCTCCTACAATGAGGCTGCAGAGTCAATTGGTTAAAATATTCAGTGGAACATCCCAAGATTAGCTATGTTGTTTGCTACTCCACAATTAGGACAGTAAAATAGAGCACCCCAAGCCTTAAACTGATATGTAAAAATAAATTCCAAAATGATTTTTTAACATCCCAAGATTAGCTATGTTGTTTGCTACTCCACAATTAGGACAGTAAAATAGAGCACCCTAAGCCTTAAACTGATATGTAAAAATAAATTCCAAAATGATTTTTTAAAAGTTTTTAATGAAACCATAAATGTTTAAGAAATAATAGATGAATATTTATATAATTTCTATATGGAGAAAGAATTTTGAAGCAAAAGAGCAATGGAAGAAATCATGAGAAAAATATTAATTTAACTATGTAAAAAAGCTAACGTGTATCAAAAGCAACATAAAATTAAACAGTAGGTGAAAAAACAAAAAATTGCTACATATTACTATTTAATAAATAATAATTAGCAATTTAATAAATAGTAATATGTAGCAATATTATGTAAATGATTAAATATATCTCACACACACATACTCCCATAGAGGTCATATAATACAATGACATCAATGTTAAAATCACAACTGGAAAGTGAGCAAAGGACAGCTCAGAGAAACAAATTGCTCTCTCAATTTCTTTCAGTCCCCAACCCACTTCAATCCAGCTTTTGCACCCACGACTAATTTTGGCCAGGATATTGGTCTCCATGTTGCCAAATTCTGTGCACTTTTTTGTCTTTATCTTAATCGTTCAGTAGCATTCAACTATTGCACACAGCACCCTCTCAGAAACACTTACTCCTTGCTTTCTACCACTGCACCCTTTCGCTTTCCCTTCGATCTTTCTGCCACTGTGACTCAGACATTTGTGCTCACTTCTTTCTTCTATCAGCCCATAACTGTTGGGATTCCCTAATGTTCTAGACTAGTCTTCCTTCCCTTCCTTTCCTTTCTTACTTTACACTGTCTCCTTAAATATCTCATCCCTCGGTTTCAACTTCTAGCTATGATCTGATTTCCTAATTTATATCGTTAGTCCAGACTTCTCTGAGCTTCTGCCCATTCCCTTCCCCTCCAGTATCCCAGAGGCACCCAACCTGACTTGTTCAAATCTGAACTCATTATCTTTCCTCCCCAAACCTGCTCCTCTAGTGTCCCCTCACTCAGAGATGGCACCACCATTCGCCTGGTTACTCAGGCCAGTAACTCAGAAGCCACCATCTACGTACAATTGTCAAGTCAGCAGATTCCACCTGACAAGTGTCTCTCAAAACCTTCAGCTTCTTTCCAGCACCACTATTACTCTAGTCCAAGTCACCATTACCTTTTACCCAGATGACAGCAGTAGCCTCCTAATAGTGGATATCCTGTATCTACTTCTATTCCCCTTATTTCACTGTCCTCACAGCAGCCAGAATGGTTAAAACCACAACAAACTCACACCTGATCACCTTTTGATTTTGTTCCTCCTCATCTTTGATCTTGCACCACCTCATCACTTCAGTGACACAGACAGCCTTTGGGCTTTTTAGTCAGTGCCACCAGCTCACCTGCTCCTACCTGGCACAGGCACTGACACAGGGTGTCCTCCCTGCTTGTGACCTCATTCACCACCCTTCTCTTTACCTCTCTAATGGCTAATCATCCTTCAGTCACATGGGAAACTGTTTGACCCCAGAGAGCCTTTCCTACCACTCTGATTGGTTCAGGTCCCTGTTAGATGTTCTCCTGGAACTCATACTTCCCCCAAATCAATAATTTGCATAATTTTGTTTAATGTCTCTCTTCTTCATTAGACTGTATGCTCCATCACATCAAGGGCTATGTTTTATTCTCTGCTAGTACCTAGGACCTTGCCATATTCATAGCATCAGTCGTTAAATACATACCAAATAAATGAATGTATAAAAAATGAAAGAAAATGAAATTCCAGATGATAAAAATTATTTCTGCTTATTAGTAGTCAAAAATTAGGTAAAATGAAATAACATACAATTTTACCTTTCAGATTAGCAAAAAAAAAAAAAAAAATTGTCAATGATCCAACACTGGCAAGAGTGCAGGGAGACAGGGATTATTCTCCCTTGCTGGGATTATAAATGTGTACAGCTTTCCTAGAAAGCCTTTGGCAATGTGTGTCAGAAGCTTTAGAATATCCCCTCCTTAGATTTAGCCATTACATGCTGTTATTGGCTGAATTGTGTCCCCCCAAAATTCATATGTTTTGAATGTGACTCAGTAGCTCAGAATGTATTTGGCAATAGGGCCTTTAAAGAGGTGATTAAGTTAAAATGAGTCTCTTTTAATCCAAAGTGGCTGGTGTACAGGAAGAGGAAATTTAGACAGAGGGACACTTGCTGGCAGAGGAAAGACCATGTGAGGACACAATGAGAAGGCAGCCATCTGCAATCAAAAGAGATAGGCCTCTGAAGTAACCTTGATCTTTGACTACCCAACCTCCAAAACTGTAAGAATATAACTTTCTGTTTCTAAGCCATCTCGTCTGTGGTATTTTGTTATGGCAGCCCTGGGTAACTAATACACACGTCTAGAAACTTACTCTCAAACAATAATCAGAAATATGGTTAAGGATTAGTAAAACTGCTAAGATATTTTTAAAAATATTCACTTGTTACGGAAGTTCTACTTGGGGAGTTTTATGTGCCCTTCTAACATAATTTTCCTCAAAACAACATGAAACAATGTCCTAAGTAGCTTTAAATAGCCTTACCCATCTATCTTCCACACTGTGAAACAGACAGGCTCTTGCACTTAGGTCAAAATCTACTCACAACTCTGAGCTCATCCTGGGTTCCTGGGCTCCTGATCTCCCAGGCTACAGTGTGCAGTGGGCACTGACTGTTGGTGCAATGACGGTCAAGTGCACTGATTCTCACAACAGAAAAGTGCTCTAGACAGCACAGCTGTTTCCAGTGGGGACCCAGAACAACAATCTCTGTCAAAGAGAAATCCTATGCACTCTCTGACCCCAAGTCATAGGTTCTCATTTAAAAAGAAATTGGTTTTTAGGGCAGGGAAACTATTCTGTATGCTACTATCATGGCAGGTACATGCCATTATATACTTGTTAAAACCCATAGAATGTACAACACCAAGAGTGCATCCTAATGTAAACTATGGACTCTGGGTGATAATGATACGTCAGTGCAAGGTCATCAGCTGTAACAAACGTACAACTGGTGGGAAATGTTGATAATGGGGAGGTTATGTATAACACCAAGAGTGCATCCTAATGTAAACTATGGACTCTGGGTGATAATGATACGTCAGTGCAGGGTCATCAGCTGTAACAAACGTACAACTGGTGGGAAATGTTGATAATGGGGAGGTTATGTATGTGTAGGGGTAGGAGGAATAAGGGGAAATCTCTGCACTTTCTGCTTAATATTGCTTTGAACCTAAAACTTCTCTTAAAAGATAATAAAGTATTTTTAAAGTACCAATAAACTTAAAAGGATGGGGAAAAGTTGGTTATGTAACATCTTCATCTCAAGAGCTACATCATTGCTACCTGATGTTCTTTATTCTGGCTTTCACTGCAGTCACCCTTCAGTTGTATCCCTCCTGCCATTGAGCAAATGGTTAAGAGCAAGAGGAGACACAGTGAGAAGAAAGACTCAGGTGCTGGGATAAGAAGACCCATACTGAGTCTTAGTGCACAGTGTGCACTCTGGGGACCATATCCTTGATCTCTAACCTCAGAACAAATTCTGGGAGGAAATGATTCTTCCCCTTTTACAGATCAGAAAAATTAATCTTAGTGACTTACCTAAGATTTATGTTATTAGTGACTTACCTAAGATTTCTGGGATTAGTGACTTTATTGGACAGATAAAGTGACATGCCTAAGCATGTGACTTCCTGTTCCTGGATTAGCAATCCCAACCCTTTTATCTTCAACAGCAAGATACAATTTCTATTTCTATGTGAAACTGCCTGAAAATGTGACTTTTAATGATGTACTAATCTTAATTCTATTATCAAAGTAGTAACAATAA